ACGAGACCTTCATACTTGGGTACTTTGGCACGATACCTCCATACTTCGGTACTTTGGCACGAGACCGCCATACTTCGATACTGTGGTACGAGACCTTCATACCTCGGTACTGTGGCACGAGACCTCTAAACCTCGGTACTGTGGCACGAGACCTCCATACCTCGGCACTGTGGCACGAGACCTTCACACTTTGGTACTGTGGCACGAGACCTTCATACCTCGGTACTGTGACACGAGACTTCCATCACTCGTTACTGTGGCACGAGACCTTCATACTTCGGTACTGTGGCACGAAACTCTCATACTTCGGTACTGTGGCACGAGACGTTCATACTTCGGTACTGTGGCACGAAACCTTCATACTTCGGTACTGTGGCACGAGACCTTCGTACCCACCATTGTGTGAACCTGAGAACGAGACCCTAGTGCGGTACCAACGATGCCGTAGAAGTAGACTTCTATACTAACTCTGTGGCGTTAAGTGAGACTATTGCTCTGTAAACATTGTCTCTAGTTTGATAATAAAATAAATTTCCATCTATTGTAAATACTGTGCTGAACTTACTAATCTAGAATAGTACCAACTTCTAACCCTTATCCTTCCCACGATACGACTGTAAAGCTACAGAAAATTATCCATACGAACATAGACTTTCAAGCTGTACTAACTCGTTCTGTACTAATGTATGAACTGTGTTACTGACCCTAATCCAACGTACAAGACTCTAGCTCACTACTATTGTTCATTACGGTATTGCCGGCATTAATCTGTTGCATATGTAGCACAAGTAGCCTCTCATTCTACGACAGCACACGTTTCTACCGTAATATGTGACTGTAATAGTGACCATATAGTCTTAGTGCTTAGGTTTGAAGGTTAATAATAAAGTAGATCATGAAAACGGTCAGGTAGGGCCTTTTACTTTGCTTGTGTTTTAGTCTATGTGTTCCAAGATTTGGAAACATAAGGTGTTATAATAAAAAACAAAATCTTGTACGGATTCAGGACCCTGTTTTAATTCGTCTATTTTTCACTTTATCTTCTAAAGTTAACTTAACCATTCGCCATGCTGATCATGCGTACCGGTAAGTCCGCTCTGGTCGCGTTACATAACGTTTTGACGCCGATAGCGGCTGGTCCAGATCAAGGTCAGACTTTCACCCTGGAGCAGCGTCGACCGGTGACACGGCCAACGATATTCAACGTCCATATCGCAACTTACTCACTACTGATCACCACTTTCCTTTTGTGACGTTTCAAAAACAGGCCGTTTATTAAGATTTGCAATTATCAGATATTATACATTTAATATCCTATAAGAACTTATTTGGGGGTTGAACTGGTTGGTGTTACTTTGAGTTTAATGGATGTTAAGATCTAACTTATATACGTGTAAGGTTAGATTATTATTTTAACGTATAGCGTTTTTACTTGTATAAACTGAGTATACTTTTAAAAATATCACAGGACCTTTAATAGACCGGAATATTCTTTTGAAATACCTTTGAAACAGTTCTCGTTAAAGAATTGCCGGGTCTCCGAATCATAGAGTCACTGCTTAATCATATTTCTAAAGGTCATCGAGATTTTTGGGATTTGAACACGTGTTCTGCAGCACAGAAATCTTACGATCCAACGACTATAATTGTTCAGGAACGCTATACTTACACATTTAGTTCTCACCGTGGAACTGAGCAAAAATGGTAAATTAGATACTTTTTTATCAGGTAATAAACTAGCATTAACATTAAATTTATAGGAACGAAGAGTCATTCTCCCTTACATAATTACCAATGACTGTTATAGAGGTGGGTTGAAGATATATATTTTTTTATATCAGTAATACCAATTCTAACTTTTTAATAAGAAGCTGTAAATATTTTCACATCAACTTTGTTTGAACGATAATATTTATAAGCACACACTAATAATTTGCACACTTTATAACCATACAATACAACTAGATATATTGCAACTAGCTTATAATGTGTAATGCTTGCTCTTGTTTAAGTGCTTAAACTGTGTTAACTGAAAATGTTATACATCTTATGATTATTAACATTTATGGCAAGTTAAAAGGGACAATCAGAATTTTTTTCCACGACACTCATGGAACGTTAGTAGAAATATTTTGAATATATTTCCAACTATAAAAAAATTACAAAAATCTGAATGTTTACAAAAAAGTTGCATTAGGATAGAAAGTTGTGTACAGTTACCCACTCTACCAATAATTGTACCCTCTAATATTTTACTATTATGAGTGCACTCAGCATACCCAAGTTGGATTACATTACAAGACTTACATCGGAGTGAGGGAGAGCTGAAGCTGGTCCGTGCAACTATGAAAGTTTATGGTTTTATTCTCTGTCGAAAGCTGACTCTGCTTATGAGTTCATGTCTTGATTATTGTTTTGTTTACTCAAACTTTGGCCAACTAAAGGGATGCAGTTTCATGCAGATGCAATCAAACGTTGTATTTAAAGTGCTTGTTGTTTTATGAGCCACCACTTATAGTTTATTATACGACTAAAATTTGTATTACTCGGCACCTAAATAGATAACATGTTTTGAGGATTGGTTATTCTTTCCCGTTTCTTCTGTTACTGGCGTATGCATTTTGAAATTAATACCATGCAAACAAGGAAAGTCAATTTTAAATAGGAAACTAAAACCCACATTAGGGTTTTCAATTAAAAAAAAAATCGTATTTCTTTAGATGGCATTGTTTTAAATTTAAAAGTTCATTTCCTAAGCTCCATTTTATGTATAGGCCTAGTGTGTTTAGATTTACAAAGAATATGAAGAAAGAGATCAAGGTTTAACATGAATACTTAGTATTCTTTCCGGTGATGTACAAGTAAATGTCTTCAAACCTTCGACCAAAGAACAACAATGCTTTTCCTATGTTTAGTAATAACTTGTCATTAAAAATTTAGTATCTCTGTAGGGTTATACAACTAAAGAAAAATATTAGAAACAATCACATTTTTTAGTTGCTCTTTGATGTTACAATACTGACGAATTGTGTATCAAATTTAATTTAAATATTCTAAGTGATACCATGGATAAAACATACTGGAACATGTTTTATGGTGGTACAACAGCAAGTAGAGGGAAATAATAGCAGATTGATATTGATTTTGAAACTTGAATCCTTTTGGTTTAATTTAAATCCTAGGATCATTTAGATAAAACATTCCATCCTCACTACCACCCTAACCGCCGGTTTAAATTCTCTTTAGCGTTATAAGTTTCTTATCTCATTCGATTTACATGTGACTTAAATAAGTTGTGATCTATAAAAAGAAGCCTGAAGCAGACGTTGCGATAAGATATGAAGGCGATGAAGCACTGACGAAAGTTTTATATCAAAAGTTGGCAAAACTTTTACAAGGGTCATATTCAAGACAAGGTTGATTCAATGAAAGATGTCTCTTGCTCCATCTACCGCGGCTTCTGGCTATTCACCTTACAACTTTTAATTGGTTCATTCATTGCAAAACTTCTATAGGTATTATAGATAAAAATAACTTTTTGCGTTTATTAAATCTATTCTTATAGAAATAACGTCGTATTCAAGTCATATTTTTATGAATGTGATTTTGAAAATTAGCAAACATCTCAGTTGATCTCAGCTTATTACGTGTACGTTATAATAGCTTTAATGTAAAATTAGATTAACGAAACTACAACTCACAAGGAAATGCCAACTCTTTCCAATAGTAGACAGCATTATTCGTTTTTCACATCATAAGAAATTCTATATGTTAATACAGTTAAGAAATCCATGGAAGCGACTCGTGACACGATTAGATGCAGGGTGTGCCATAAATATAATGGAATCACCTGCACTAGAATGTATTCTAAAATTAACCTAACTGTACTTAAAACATAATGGATATAACGCTTTGTACAACCACTACACGAGCAATGCAAATCATGCGAAAGAGTTATATTGTATGTAGCTATTATCTTTATAGACTTTGTATGAATTGCCAATAAGCCAGTTGAAGGTGAGGCAATTAGTGTTCAATAAGGCTAATGGATAAAGTCAAACACAAAGCAATGCATAGCTAATGTATTAAAAACATGAATGCCATTTTATAATTAATCTTGGAAAGTGATTGTTGATATTTTAGTTTTAATTCAAATTTTTATATCACTAACAAATTTATTATAACATAAACGTCTGTATTGAATCTAAAATTTTATATTTATCCCTTATGAAAGTTTTTTTTAAGCATACCCGAACACTCCTATATAGCATTGAAAACTCTTTGAGAAATATATTACAGTATAGGCCTAAACAATTTAGAAAATAAATATTTATAAACACCAGTAAGCCTTATCGAAAATGTATGTTCGTTATCACGGCTTAGGTTGCAAGAGTATCGAGTTGCCGGCGTTTTTTTGGAGTATTAGCATTTTTTTTTCTTTGCAACAAAAAAATAAAATTTCATTTTTACATAATGTATTTTTGAACTCAATTCCATTTTCAATGGCCAGAGTTATTAGGACCAACAAAATTCATTAATTTGCAAATTTCCACCTGGAAAATACAAGAACTTAAATGAATTAAAAGAATACATAAACCTATTGTAACCCCCGTACAATTTGTAGTGTTTTTTTTTCGAAACGTTGACAGTTCTTTTATTTAAAGCTATTTTAGATGCAATTTAGGTTATCTTACTATTGTTATGCTAAATATTTATTGGCGTTCACTTGATTAATATAATTATCATGAGTTCAAAAGGAATGTATCGTACATTATCAATTAGTTTGAGCAACGTGAAACATTTTACGTTTTACTTAAATTAAAAAAAGCATAATTTTAACTGTTGATTACTGTTAATTGATATAAGCAAACATTTCAACGATATTGGAAACTGAACCAGAATATTACATAATTTTCACCAACAACTAATTTATAACAAATAATATATTATTTTATAAATCTAATACTGTTATAAGATAATTATAATAAATGTATACATACCTGGAAGAGTCGTCATCCGTCGGCGCTATGGCCATGTGTAGTGTTCACCCGTCCATGGCACAACACATACTGAGTGCTGAGTGTTGAGACACTGCGCTCGTACGCGCACACCCGCGCACCCGCGCAACATACACACAGACACTGATAACGTGGACCTGCCTCAATATCTACCGGACTACGCGGTCACGGGTAATGATGATCAGAAGAGGTATACTGTAAAGTATACTGTAGCTGACCATCTTCTAACCATGGTCTAAAGAAGCAATTTACGAAGACAACTAACCACTTTTTTCAAACACAATCACAAAAACAATCAGGAGAAACCCACTACATGACACCTATCCCGCCCAACAAAGGTGTGGGAACGTAGATCAATCATTGTCAGAGGTAAGTATAATCTATAGCAATAGGGGCTAACTGGTTATGTAGTGTAGGTAAATAGAATCGTGAACTATTTATGACCTACGTTGCGAGCTTTCCGATGACAGTTTAAAATAAAAATACTAAATATTGATTCTAAAGGCTAATAACACATATCAAAATGGCAAAAAGTTTTCTAAACTAGAATAGTATCCTTATTTTTATGCGTTCATCCTTAACATACAAAAAATAACTTAATAAATTTCAATCCAGGTAAAATTGAATAAAGCTTTAGTCAAACGAAGTTTGTAATGATTTTGATCAATACCGTTTTCTACAAAACAGTTCAAGATCGTCAGTTATGCCGTAGTAATAATAGAGATCGATGGTTATGCCTGACAATCATCCCCCACCACTGTTCAAGTCCCGCTAATCGTCAATAGATTTTTTCAATATGAGAATGCCGCAACCCGCAACCCTCAAGGACTAGTCTGAAGTAATGTGTAAAACAGTTCCAGGCTAGAACTAGCATCCTAGGATGTGAAGGTGGGACATGAAAACATTTCCAATCAAACGATGTAATATTTATATTTAGTGGTTGAACTAAGTAAAAATGACGAAGCAATATTTTTTTTAAACTAGAGAAAAGTGAGTTAAGCTAAGCTGGAGGGAGGACGCCAAGTCGTAGTCGTTACTCAGTATGAAGTGTTGGACACAATGGTCTCTGTATTTGACAACACTGCTCACTTACTGTCTCCTGCACTAGGGCATCTTAGACCATCCCTTCAACCCTTATAATGTGATACTTGACCTAACCCATTGGTATGACACTGTCAGAAGAACCTATCTATTTCATGTTGTAGGTGTTTTGTTATTTCAAAATACACACCCATGATCCTGAAATTTCCATAGGATGATATAATGTTTACCCATTACGCGTGCTCATAATTATTTGAGTTTCATAAAAGCCAAGTAGCTACCAAAGTTAATTTTTTGAAAGTTCACTTACCGTTTGGATTGTCAGGCGCTCATGTACGCTCATGGGAATGGTGTTTGGTGCTTACCTGAAAAAAAATGAATCTATTAAAAGAGAAAATCAACTACACAAAGAGGTTTTTGGGATAAAGCTATACGAATCACCACGATGTATTGTACTTCTATAAGAGCTTAGTATGCAAAGACATGGTATTAGCCTTCAATAAATTATGTTTTCCATAATCATCTTCGATCACCTTAACGCAACCTTTATACCTTCTTATACAGTTTTAAAGGTTTAAATTCTTAATTTAATTTAATTCATGTATTTAATTAAAAACGCCAATTTAATTGTGTTTATTAAAACTATTGGGTGGGTTTAATTTAAGGGAAACGCTTGAATTTGAATATCGTTCTATATGTCAGTGTTAACTTGGTTAGCGATCTTTGGAACCATCACACAGTTAGCAGCAGGTAGTAATAATTCAGAAGTTCGCCAAAACAGCTTATCAAGACTCATTGTCACAGTTAATCAAGTAATAGGAACATTAGCTAATTTAGAGTTAAAATAAATTATTAAGTCTTATTTTTGTAAGGGATTTTATAATAACCCTAAAACATCTAACGCGTATCAAATAGTTTCCAGTTCAATCGTTCTTTCCTAGAATTTATGAATTTCTAAAACAATATGGATTAACAAAGTTTGTTAACCTGGTAAACTGAAATCTTTAACATGTTAACATTTAACATTTAAATAACGCTTAAATGTTTTCATCAATTTGCATACTGCGCCATACAAACGCACCACGTACCCTTGTATAGTAAAATTATATCAAATTCCATACTTTGCAATAAAATTAAACTACTCTGTAATCCTTATTTGACCTAATTGTATATATCCTTAAATCAAATCAAAACAAATCCCGTATGTTCACCTGTAACTTTGCGCATTGCTTGCTGGACGAACGGAAGCCAAAATCCAACAAGTTTGAGATTCGCTGATGCGGTAAAACAAAATTGTTGTTTGTACAAGTTCTGGCGTCAGATTTCTGCACTTCCTGAGATAAAAGAACGACGGCGAATCTTACATCCTATTCTCGGATTAGGTTATAAGCTTCCGCAATTGACCCGGTATCCGGTTCAGTGTTTACTTCATACCTTCTTCTCTTGCTATCACAGCACTATGACAAGACGTATTTTTAAAGGAATCAATTCAATGTATTCAAATATTATCATCCGAAGTTATTTATTTATTCGTTGATGTGCATCTAATTACACGCTTTTACACGACCTTAGTATTTCACGAAGTAATCTAATATAATTTTACCTCAATAATCCAATAATTTAGGTAGCAAATTGCTTTGCTGACATAATTTGGCATTAGGTATTACATTTAGGCATTTAGGTTGTTTAAACGTTATGTGTCACAGCGTCTAAAATTATACGAACGGAATCGCAAACACACATGCGTTTTATAAGGGGAAAAAATGTTTTTAGTTGATAACTGGAAAACTAAATTAGATACGGCTAAATTTTAGGTTTTGAAGGTTGCTTAGAATTGTAATACCTTTACAAGAAACATATTTGAAGTGCTTTAGTGTTGACTAAGTAACTACTTTTAAAAGTGAATTTATTTTGTTTTTGTTTTATCTTGTGATAACACCATAATATTGCAAACCAAAATAAAGCTTAGCTTATGATGATTGTGGAATTTCAATCAAACATCATTTTCTATAAAAATACAGGGTATTAAAAATAGTAGCAAATTTTCCACCTGAAGAGCAACCCTTTTGAAATTACTAAATATATTTACTTCTTGATAATCAGAGATTTCTTGATAGTGCCAGACTCTAGAGAACCCGCATATTTTGTAAGTTGGAAAATTTATAAACACATTTATTTCGCTAAAGTTTAAAAATAAACTCACTGTAATAGAGCAATTCAATTTAGTATGTAGATAATTCACACCAAAATTATCTACATCGAGTCATATGATTGTAAGAAAAAATATTTGTAAACGAAAACAACTGAGATAAAATATTAATTAATAGTTATACCTTATTATCATTGGGCTAAGAATGTCAATCATTGATACTTGTATTAAATTTACCATTTACAAATTGCATTCAATATTTCATGGCAGTGTTCAACAGTTATAAGAAGGCTACCAAGACACTGCAGAATGTGACTAGTGACGTTGACCTAGACAATTTCTCACCTGACAATTAGTGACAATAATTGGCAGCAACATCAGTCAGGAGCCAATCAGAGGCAATGGCGCCTGCTGCAGCCAATCATCTGGAGCTAACTTGTCTAATATAGGAACAAATAATGATTGGAAGCTCTGTGCCGTGTGCATGTTTAATTTTTACTGTTAGTTTATGTTTCTACGCCATTGCATTTTGAAACGATTTCCAAGGGAAGGGTCCAAAATTAGGACTTTTTAAATGTTTGTTATTTTAAGAACTGCATTTTGCTAGATATAAATTTTAATCGAAAACCAAAGACTAAGTGCGTTTGGATCCAGAAATAGGTTCACTTGGAATCAATATAGCGGTCTTCATTGAGTTCATGCGCTATAACCAATGATTTTTACTAAAAATTTGTATAGGTTTTGTGTAAAGGAAATAGGTAGAAACATATCGGCCGACATCATAAAATTTATATATATAAAGATTCAACCAAACTTTGGTTAAGAAATGCTTGCTTGCTCAACTTTGATATTTCTTCAAAAGATGACTAACTATTTGTAATATTCGAAACTCTCATATGCGCTGGATTTTAAGGATGTATAATCTCTAAACAATGAACCTCTATTCACCCACCATATCGTAGTTAAACATTACAAATAAGAACATAAGACCACACAAAAACAGCTCAACCTGAACATGGCTCAACACTGTTAGTTTTGAATTTATGTTCAGCCATAAACAACGCAATAGTTTGTCTGAGTATAAAATGTCACCACAGTAAACGGTTTACTGCCATTCCTGTGGTCACTTGAAACACAATTACTAACAGCTGTGCAGACAGTTAACAGCTACATTATCGGGTGCATTAGAGGTTCGAAATAGAAAATCTTTGGCTTTATTTCAACTGCGATTGTTATTTATGTGTGAGGAACCTATCAAAGTACACTTTTTTGGCATGAATTCACTTATTTTCTTTATAAATTTGAGTACATTTATAATTTTAGATGCATTCTCATATCCAATTCAATATGAGTCAGCAATCCTTACGCTTATAGTTTGGGGCAAATTTTCCAGATATTTTTCATTTTTAGAATAAATGAATGAATGGAATAATACGTGTATTTTGCACAATCTTTCCTATACCAATGTTACTTATGTAGGCTTATATACTTGAATCATAAATAACATTATGTTGGAACAATGATCTGTAACAGGTTGACCTGTTAATTATACTTAAGTCACAATAAAAGAATCTAATTATCTACCATGACATGCAATTGTACGCCGGCGTCATGGAGTCGCAGAATTATTGGTCCAAAACCAACTTCATCATCTAATGAGTACTTTACGTTCTTAGGTGAATTTGAGGCAGTAAAACGTGTGGTGAAAAACAATCTAGCAGGTAAATGTTACTATTTAAATGCATCACAGTAAACAAATGTGGGGAACATCCTAAAAAGTTATGACAGAAGATACATTTGTTTTAGTTTCATTGCTTTACACATTTATAAACAAAGACTTAACTAA